TCGCGGTACTAGATGAAGAGCGTTCTCTGAACAAAAGGTTAATATCGGAATGCCTTCACATTTTAATACAAAAAAATAGTCTGAATTTACGCTCTGATACAGAAGATGTACATCTGAACTATATACAATTACTTAAAGACATCTAATAATTTTATATTCCCGGTTATACTAATTTTGTTTTTATGTTTTGACATTATCTTTCTCATTTTATTTTTATTTCCTTGATTCTTTTTATTTTTGTATTTGACCTGACATGTCTTTCCGATTATATTAAGTATATTATTCATGTGCTGTTTGAGCTGCGATCAACATGTTTCTTAACTCGATACTTTATATTAAATATTAATTGTAATTAGTTGATCCAATGTTTATACGAATTCCTTGGTTGTCATGTGGTGAGTCACCAGTTTTATAGTTAATTTGAAACTTGTTCAATGAGAAATTTTTATAAGATTTTTATAAGGTAATTTTAATTTTCGAATAGATTATAACATCAAATCTGCTAATCTGATGGTGATTTTCCTTGACATTAAGGGATTGATATTTTAAATTTATTTGGCTGAAGATGGTTCCAAAGTGAACTGAAACGTACTATATATGGAATAAAGAATCAATTTTTTTGGATTGAAGAAGTAAGATTGCGTATTAATTACCACGCTGACTCTCATTCGCCCTGTTTTTGAAGTTTTTTATGTTGTTCAATTTTGGAGAGTCCGTAAGGAGACTACATTATTAATTGTTGAACTTTACTTTCTATAGCATCAAAAATATCATCTAATATTCCAGGAGTGAAGTGGATACCTTCAAGGCGCTGTCTTAGGGTACGTGTTGATGGTAATGGAATGTTTTGTTTAATAAGCTCTTGATAACCACTATTAGTACAAGAAAATTTTATTCGAAGAGCTTTTTTAATGGTTTGTTCAGACCAAGTGTATACACGTCGTTTGCTACACTGTGATTGTAACCATTCAATTTGATCGTCATTGAAAACTTTTTTAAGTAATTTTCTTGATTGTAACAAACTTTTTTCGATTCGTATTGTTTTCATACTTCTGAGTTTTCTTATACGCTTCGTAAGAGTCTTATTTGATCTATCAACTGTACGAAATATTTTATCGATATTATCCAATTTCTCTTGCAATTGGATTATTTCGGTGTCTTTATTTTGAAGTTCTTGTTGTAATATTTTTATTTCTGCCAGAGCGTGCTCCAATGAAACTGGTGTTACATTGAATATCGAGGATGTTGCTGCAAATAAGTTAATATATGATATCAATATATCATTAATATTTACATTATTTTGAGACAATGAAAATAAGTATCAAAAATTATTAAATGATTAGATAATACAGAATTGTCCACAAATAATGAACATAAATTATTCTCACCTTCAAGATGCTCTTCAATGTTTGTAGATTTATCACTGGTTTTGTTGTTGATATTTTCTATAGTCGCAAACTGAAAATGATTTTCTTTGATACTTGAAAATCCCTTGCTAATTTCATTATAATCTTTATCAGATTTTAACTTTTTCGTTTTAGGTTCATTAGAAGATTCAGTAGTTGTCTCATACAGTTCTTCGCATGCAGGAAAAATTGTTGGTACTGCTTGTATCTTCAATTTCCTCTTTCCATCCTGTCGAACCTTTTCCCACATTTCTTTAGCAAAATGAACCTACAATAAGCAAATACAAACCATTTTGTAAACCACTATTAATATACTTCATATAATTATATGTTTACCTCACAAACAGCTGAATACTGTTTTGGTTCCCAATTTTCTCTCCCAATAGTATGCAACCATTTTTTCTTCATTGTTGGATCGATTGGAAAGCGCTTCATAAAACATCCTTCCTCACTTCGGTTTTTACACCCCAAGATACAACAACCTGTCATTTTCTGTAAAATTAGATTATTTATTGTAAGTGGTTATAATTATGTTATAGGTTATAGATTATATTAACTATATTGAAGTTATAACACTAGCTCTATTCTCATATCTAACAAACAAATAATTTCTTTAACAACATTACCATCTTACCATTTTTCATTACCATTTTTACCATTTCTCTTTTTGACAGTTGTAATCTTACTGTGTATACTGAAGATGGCCTAATCTAGGCCGAAATGTTTATAATTAAATTATATTATTTATGTTTATAATTAAATTATCATGTGATTAAATTATTATACTATTCACTATTCAAAATCTTGTGATTGTGGTCCAATGCCCTATCTTTGTATTTGTTATTAACATATTCTTACCGTATCTTACATATGTGTCGGTGAACGCGTTCAGCTGTACACTGCTGTGTATTAAATTATCTTGGTTTTTGCTTTCTGCTTTTCTGTGTGAACGCGCCTTAAGAGGTCCGCCATTTTCTATCCAACTAGAATCTATGCCAGTCTCTTATTATAGTGTCTCTAGTTATATAGTTGCTTTTGGCGCTGTATTGTTAGAATTAAGAATTACTCACTCTAATATAGTCGTACGCAAACTGAGCCTGTGTTGTTCGAATCAATTAAAATAAAAGGCTTGTATTCTCTGTTAATGTGTGCCCTGTGCACTTTATTAAAGGCTCAATCTCTTATATGGAATATTGTGTTTTCGTCATATATGACCTTAACCTCTATAACAAGCAAATACGATTGCATCTCGCAATAATAGACATTACACATGCTGAAATATTCATGCAGATATTCTGTATATCTATTTATACATAATATTAGAATTTTATGTGTATCGTATAATGTGTGTGTAT